TGGGTTTGGCTTAGTCGGAGGAATGAGTTGGCTTCCATTGCATTAAATGAAGGCTTAGGTGTCTAATTATTTGCTCAAGATGCTGGTTAGGCTAACTAAGTCCCTTAAGCTAGTTTAGTTCAAGTAACATGACATTTCTTTCCTAGAAAAATTCAGCAATTCCTCCCTAAATAATTAATTCAGCAATTTCCTTCCTAATAATTCGGCAATTTTCTTCCCAAAAATTTTCCAATATTCCTTACATTTTAAAATACCTTTCTCACTTGTATAATAGGTTCCATATATATGCTAGAGAAAATGAACGGTAATTAGCTAAATTACCCGAAAATTCATCCCCTAATTCCTCACATAAACACCAAGCATAATAATATTACCAAATTATTAAAATGGCACATAAATCACACCCTTGCTCAATGTATGAATGTACAAATATCTTTGTATGTATATTTATATGGTTAAGGACTTTATGGGGGTTAAACATTCCGACCACCCCGAAGATCGAGTTTACCATCACTTTATTCGTCTCAAAGAATAAAATCCATTTATGGGGCTCACAAGTGATGAAATGGTTGGAGGAGGTAGATCAAAATTTAAAAATAGAGAAAAAGGTCTTTTGGTGCCCAACCTTTATTTTTATTTATTTTTGGTGCCTAACTCGTTTATTTCTCATGATTGACTACCTAGGCTTTGATTTTTTTATTTATTTTAAGCCTCATGTTCACCTAAATTTTGATTTTGTTGAAGTGCTTGACTAGATTTGTTACATGGCATTTTTTAGTACCACGTGACAGTTGCAACTAACACGTCATAAAAAACCCAAAGGTTACAAACTAACTTTGTTTGGTTTAATATTTATGTTCTAACTAAAGGAAAAAAATTAATTAATAAAAAAATTAACAAAACGATGTAAGTTAAATGGATCATTTAACTTACACCATTTTGTTAATAAAAAATAGAAAAAGTAAACTAAATCATATTAGAAATCAAAGAGACTATTTCAAATTTAAATCGCCGGGAGAGAGATGAGGAAAAACTCTAAATTATTTTGGGAAAATCTACGCTTTTTGTGATTAGATAGATCAAAAGTCATAAATGGGTAGGAAAAGAGGGAAAAAAAAGTAAAATCAAGAACATTGGAAGCAAAAAAAAAAAAAAGTGTCATAAACTAGAGAAACAAGGTAAGTTTTATTGACAAAATGAATATTGAATCTTGGGTTTTTTTTCTTCTTAATTTTTTGTTTCATTCTTTTGATAATAATGTTGGGTAACTATGTTTGAAGGTTGGTGTTAGGGTTATGTGGAGTATTGTGTTTTCTCCATTAGTGGTGGGTTTTCTCTATGGATGGATGATTATTCAATGTTTAAGTTTCTTTGTTTGTGCTTCTTTGTTTTTATCTTTATTCTCTTTTTCTACTTATGTGGTTTTATTTCAAACAAGGAATCTTCAATCTTATCTCTTTATTGCATTTGATAAGTGGTCCTACTTTTTACTTGGGTGTTTTTCATTATTTTTAGTAAAAATATGGGCTATGTTGAGGGTCATTATGGCGAGTGTCTAGAACACCAACTTAATATTGCTTATATTGAAGGTAAAATAAATAGTGAAAGAAGTGGATCATAAAATTATTAGCTTAATTGATTTTAAAAAGATTTGGCCTAGTGAATTTAAGGAATTTGATTTTTCTATGGTTTGGTATAGAGTCCTTAGCATGAAACCGCCACGAGGATTGAAATTTTCTTTGAATGATGGATACTTAATAGAAATAGGTAATATAATCAATCAATACAAGACAATCTATGTCTTTGTTGAGCTGGGAGTGAGATATTAGCTATTTCCATATTGGTGTGAATGAGTTTTGTTTTAATCGAATGTGTTTGATTATGTTAAGAATTTGGATGGTCATGCTCGATATTGTTGATGATTCTAAAAATATTGATTTTGTTGAGTTTGATAATAATATTGATGATGATATGGCTAATAATGTTGGGATAGAGACTATTGATTTGGATCCTAATAGTGATAGTGTAGATAAAATCGAGGTTAGGTTTATGGATGAGAGCATTAAAAAAGAGAGGGTGTGGAAGAATGAGTTGAAGTCGTTGATATTAGGATTGAAATAATAAATGAGATAATTGAAAGCTTATGAAAAGATTTTAAATATGTTGAACAACATGCAACTATAGTTAGAGTAGGTGATGATGAGAAATTATATAATGTTAGGGTTAAAAATGCAAATATGCTAGCAGATGGTGATAAAAAAAAAACAAATAGTGATGATGATTATGTCATTTCTAGCGAGTGAGGATGAAGAGGAATTAGATCTGAATAATATTTTAATTTTTAATGATGATGATGATGATGAGTTGTAGGATGAAATTGAAAAGCTACGGGTTTTAAGAATAAAGAATTTTAGAACTCGTAGAATAGAGAGCACGGATAGACCAAAACTAGATTATATTGAAGGGATGAATATAGAAGATGGCTTAAGTGATAATGTTGGTTCAAGTGATGATGATGTTAGTTATGATAAAGATGATGAAGATCATGTTGTTAAAAGATGGAGCAGGTATAAGAAGTTTAAAAAGGCATAATCAAAATCACCTTATTTTGTGTTAGGCATGATATTCAAGAAAAAAAGAATTTAAAGAAGTAGTTAATGATTACGTAGTACTAAATAGGAATGATATAAAATTGAAAAGAATATTAAAGATAAATTTAGTGCTAAATGTGTGGCAATGGATTCTCCATGGAGAATTTAAGTCGTTATAACTTTAGTTATAGATGCATTCTAGATCAAAACACTTGTTGATGAACATAGGTGCAATCTAGTGAATAGAAATAGAAAACTAACTAGTAGTTGGTTAGTAACAAATTACCGTAGCAAGATGAGGACAATGACTTTCATTAGGTTGAAAGATTTGAGACAGTTTATGAGAGATATTTTCTAGGATGAAGTGACCTTTACTAAATGCATGAGAGCTAGAGCACAAGTATTAGAGAAATTAAAGGTGATTATAGGAAAAAGTATGCAAAGTTGCACGATTACTATTTGGAGTTAAAAAATTCAAATAGTGGGACTACAACTTATTGTATTGATGTGACCCCACCATTATTCCTAAATATTGACCCTATTTTTTATAGAATGTATGTGTCATTCAAGTGTTGTAAGCAAGGCTTTTTGACTGGTTGTAGTAGGGTTATAGCATTGGATGGATTCTTTTTGAAATGCATTATTAAATGAGAGTTGCTAGTGGGTAATAGGAAGAGATTAAAACAATCAAATGGTTTTAGTATCTTGGATAATTGTCACTAGAGAGACAAAAGATACATGGACTTAGTTTATCCAACAACTTATCACAAACTTTGGCATCACTAAGCACAAAAAAGATTGGGAGTTCATTATTGATCAACATAAGGTAATTTAACTATATATTTTTTTATTTTATTTTATTTTTAATTTGATAGATTTATTGATAGAATCTCTTTTATTTGTTTTTGTAGGGATTGGTTCCCACAATAGGTGATTTATTGTGTAAGTGTGAGTGGAGGGCATGTACTCGAAATCATTTTGCTAACTAAATGAAGAAACATGGGGGCAAACAATTCTTAGATTTCTTCCGGGCATGTTCAAAATCATCAAATATGCCATATTTTGAGAAAGAAATAAAATTATTATTTAATAAATCGGTGAGTACATTTAATGACATACTTAGAGTTGAGCTAAGATACTAGTGCAGGGTATTTTTTTCTACTACAAATGAAGGTCATGTTATGGACAATAACTTAACATAAGAATTCAATGTAGCAATTATGAAAGTAAGATGCTTGTCAATATTATCTATACTAGAGCTGATCGGATTACAAATGATGAATTGGATGCACGAGTAATAAAGAATAAACAAAAAAATGGGTTAGTAATACTGGTCATAGAATTAGGAGAAGCTATTTCTAAATGAAGTTGAAATTTATGATAATTGGTATGTGCTCCGGAATGAGATTGAGGGTTATGAAATTAAAAAGCATGGAGTAGCTGAAGGATATATGGTGAAGCTTGCTACTAAGACATGCTCATGTAGGGCTTGGCAACTTTAAGAAATCCCATGTTGTCATACCATGTATGCAATTGTTGATAGAGGAGAGTGTGAAGCAAAAGTATTTTTGTTTGATTAGCTAACAAAAGTCGATGAAGGATCATGCATCCTATGGAGATAAGGAATAAAGCAATTTTTTTTCTCCATCTAAGGCTCCTAAGATTAAGCCGTTAAATCAACTAATCATATATACATGAATAAAGCATAAGTATAGGATTACCTTTTTTGGCATAGAATTTGACCTTTACAAAAAAAAGAATCATCTAGTGTTCAACCTCTATTGATAATCCACGCAGTCCAAGCACCCACATAAGAAGCACTCGAAGTAGTAAAGTGTTAGCTTTACCTTTTTTTGACTTGTTTAGTGTTTTCTCTTTAAGAATCTATTTAGGGATATTTTACGATAATTCTGAGAGAGAGAGAGAGAGAGAGTGAGAGGTGGCATGTGTAAGGGAAAAGAAAACTATTTTTCTCTTTAATTTTACTCTTGTCATGTATGCCTTAGCAATTCGTCTCTGTTTGTAGCACATCCTCTTGTATTTATAGAGGGAGTATCTTCCTTATCCACCAAGGATAAGGAAGTGATGGCATTATGTACTAAAGGGACTCTTGGTTGTTGCTTTCTAATCCTCTAAGAATTAGGAGTTATTATGCATGTGAGCCTTTTGATCTTATCCTTTTAAACCTTCATCCTTATCTAATAAGATTCATGTTTATCCTCCCATCACAATATCTTACGAGCTTTTAAATTAAACCTATTGGCACAAATTCCTTTGCATTAAACAAATTTACAAACTAATCAAATAAATTAATTTGTATATTTTAAAATCCACATATAAAAGTCTGAATACCAGATGTGTATCAGTAGAAATTAATTTCTGCTTTTTAATGCTGCTGTGAAATTTGAGCACTATTTCAGCAGAAACTGGCTGTGGAAAACAACGTGCTTATTTCAGCTTTCAGGCACAAGCACTTGCAAAATAAAGCTTTCAGGTTTGGAGAGCACCCAGGCTTTGCTCTGCCCCAGCAGGCAACCTGCCTGCTGGCACTGACAGTAAATGAACAGATATGTGCCAATCCTCAAGTCACCTGCTGCCTCTGTTGTCCATACAATCCATGACATCAGAGGGAACCAGCAGCTCAAATATAAACATTTCTGTTACAGGGGCAGAACTGTGTCTGCAGGAACACCCACTGGGCATGTGTATATGTCATTCTCTGTCTCATTTCACTCCATAAGATTACTGAAGCTGGTCTGTGGTACATTTTCAGTGAACTCCCATGTAGGGCCTTCCTTTTCATTCCAATACTGTGTCTCCCCAGGCTCCAGCTTTCAAAAACCTGCTACCAGCAGCCCCTGCCTGCCCCCCTCCACTGCTCCATGAGCCTTTCTGCAACAGCAGACATTGTTTCCTTCAGGCCAGGCTCCTATTAATATTTTATCACCTGCTGCCTGGGACTGTGCCTCTCTGTCTTCATCCTCAACTCACCTCTCCATTAGGATTATATGATACCTGAGAATGGCAGCTGCCTCTGCTCTGTCCTTCCTGCAGAAAATGCAACTGAGGCTCCTATCAGACCTGTGCCATTCTGTAGGGCTGCTCATGTGCTTCATCCAAGGAACTGGTGTACAACTACAATAGCTTTTTTTTTTGTCATTTAACTGGGCGTCGTGATTCTATGAAATAAAATCTCTGATGAACAATTCTTCTTCAGTCACTGATTCTTGCTTTGATATTACTATACCAATAGGTGTGAGATCTCCTACTACTATCTTAAAGGATGAGCATAGTATTCACAAGTCTAACTGCATATAGTCAATGTCCATTCTTGACAATGCTATGACTTAAAACATTTAACGATATCATTTAAGTGCATTAATGTTTGTCTCACATCTTGCGATCAATCATTAATGCAAATGTATATCATCAATACTTCTATCTAATTCTATTCAATAAATAAATATAAATAATAAGAATTAATAGAAAGACTTCTTTTATTATTAATAAAATAAATAATGCAATGTTACAATAACTCGGACCATCCAATCAAGGTTAGATCTTAGGCACCTACACTAACAATGTAAGCATACCAGTTTGTAGTGCAACTATTTAATAGAGAGCAATTTTAGAAACAAACAATAAAGCCACCAACACAATCACCTCCATTCAAGAAAATGGTAGAAAGACTTAAAAACAATATATTTATAGAAATTAAGGAGTCAACTCATAATGGTACCAAACTATTAAGGAAAGGTATGAAGGCGAGATGCTCATCCTACTATCAATAAAGCCATAACAAAGTGTCATGTCTAAAAAATTGAATTCGACTATACAACTAGAACAAGAGAATAATTTGCAAGTCACCCTTCTATTTCAGTTTTATAATTTACATTTATTTTTTAATAATTATTTAGACTAATAATTTTTTGTCACGTATAATACAAGAAGAAAAAAGAAAAAAGCTTCTTCAACTACCGAGAGTAATGAAAGACGAATGAATTACTCACATACTACCTCCGTTGATGAAGCTAGAGGTACTACTCGTTGGTATTGTTTGTAATCAAGTTAGAGGTAATAATAGAAGTCGAAATGTACAAGTTAATTATATGGTATACAAGTTAGCATAAAGAATAGATTTATAATGCAACTACACTAACAATGGTAGTTACTAGTTTGTAATATTGCTATTTAATGGAGAGTAGTTTTCGAAGTAGACAATGAAGCCACCAACACAATCATCTCCATTCAAAAAAATGCTAGGAAGACCTAAAAAGAATAGGGAGCCAACTCATAATGGTACCAAACTATGAAGGAAGGGTATGAAAACGAGATGCTCAGCCTACTATCAATAAAGCCATAACAAAGTGTCATGCCCAAAAAAATTGAATTCTAGCTATATAGCTAGAGCAAGAAAACAATTTATAAGTCACATTTGTATTTCAATTTTGTAATTTATGTCTATATGTAAATAATTGGTTATGGTTGGTATCGTAGTTGGTGTTAGTTATAATCGAGTTAGAGATAACAATAGAAGTTAGGTATGTACAAGTGAATTATGTGGTATACAAGTCAGCATAATGCCAATATAATCATCAATGTAGTTTTAATATTCTGTTTTATTTTTCCTTTTTATTTTGTAAATGAATATGCAAGTCAATTTTTGGTTATGGTTGTTGAATTTATCTTTCATGTTGTAGGTCTGGTACAATAAGGCAAGGAATCTTATTTAGGATAGGAGACAATTACTAGTGCTTCAACTATAAATTATATAGTCATCACACCCCAACACTTGAAAGATTTGAATTCGACCAAAATGAATAAGAACTTGTCAAAAGTTAAAAAAAAAAAAACAAAAGAAGGTGCCAACGAGTGGTATAAGGTAGAGTTAGATGAGTTCTAGAAGTAGTTCAAACAATTTAAGGTAGAAGAAAAAGTCTAGAATCATTGAGAGTGTGACACAAATTTTTAATGTTAACACTCGAATATGCATAAATTTATGTTGGGTGTAGCTAAAATTTTGAATATAATTTTTTATTTTGCGTTTTGTATAAGCAACTAAACTCGATAAGCTCATTTTTTGTATAGCTATAGATATAGCTATTAAACATAAGTGCAACTGTGCACATTATACATGGCTATAAATCTAGATACATGAATGGCCAATAGAATTTATGCTTTTTAAGATGATTGTTCTTCTCGGATTTAGAAAAGTAGGTTTATTAACATAAGTAGTTACATGAAAGGCTAATGAAAGATAGTTCAATAATAAGTTTAATTTTTATTAACATTAAGTAGTTATAAAATCTAATATATTTTAAATAAAAATGGACCAAAATATGTTCCAAAATATGACTCAAAAGCATAAATGGTTTATCTATTCCCATTTAAAGCATAGGTGTATTGGCCATTCCTAAAACAACTATCGTTAGAATTCAGAATCTATCTCTAACTTCTTTTAGAATGGTAAGGATGATAACGGACACATTAGGTTAGTTGGCAATAGATTTTTTTTTCCTTGCAAAAGGGGGGGATTAGGAATAAAAAATATAAGGGAGGTTTTTAAATCCATGAAGGGGAAGCTAGCCTGGACGTATTTATCAAGCCCTTCTTTTTGGATTTCCTTTATGAGATCCAAATATGGGGATCCATCCTTCTTTGCTTCCATCAATAGTAGAAAGGGGTCCTTGGTGTGGAGATCATTATTTCCACATATAGGTTTTATCCTGGATCATTCAATTTGGGTAGCAGGTGCGGGACAAATTTAGTTTTAGAGAGATAAATGGACTTTGGTAGACCTTTCTCATCCTACTACTCGGCTTGGATATTTCATTAGCCTAAGCCAAAAGAGATCTTATGATTTATGCTTTGTTACCTCTATTAGTCAAGAATGAATTGGATCTACTATACCTAGATGATAATATAAAAGACGAAGTTATGCTACATAGATTCAAAGATTGAGGGGTTCAATACTAAAGACTACTATGAGGCTAATAGGGTTATTGGCCTAACGTTTCAATGATGGAGGTCTTTGTGGAATAAATGGCTACCCGGGAAAATTAGAGTTTTGGTTTGGAAAGTATTACATAACGCTATTGCAGTGGATAATAATATTAAGTCTTATGGCATCTCGTTTGCTTCTAAATGCCATTATTATAGCTCATTTGAAGAAGAATTGAAGAAACATTTGTTTCTACATAGGGAAGTCGCCAAACATCTTTGGACTTTATTTGGTGATATACTAGATACATCTTTTAGCTCTACCATGATATTGCAATAAATCTCGGTATGGCTCACCAAAAGTAAGATTCTCTCCTATAAATGTTTTACTCATATAATAGTTTTTAACTACATTATTTGAGAGTTTTGGTTATCTAGAAATAAATACATTTTTGAAGGGGAGAAAATGAATGAGATCAGTGTCAAACATAAGGTTCTTCGCTGGCTAAATGATATTTCTACGCTATTTTCCCTAAAGGCTTTAACTTCCTTTCATGAAATTTCATGCCTTCAAGCTTTGGGAATCTACCCGCAAGCTTCTCATCCCTCCACTAGGAAGTGGATTAAATGGCAGTATCCTCTTATAGGTAAGCTAAAATTGAATACCGATGGAACTTCAAGGAATAATATTTATAGTGGGGGAGGGGGGCGATATTCTTCATGATGACATGGTAATTTGGTTATGGCCTTCTTCTACTTCTTTGGTCCTGGAACAAACTCCAAAGGAAAACCATTGGCATTTCTTGAAGGCATCAAAATCTATATTGATCATAACTTATAGTTTGATGTTATAGAGGTTGACTCTTCCCTAATGATAACAAGTTTATCCCATACCAATTCTTGTCTATGGAAACTACCATACATCTTTAGAGAGTGCTTGGGAAACCTTCAAGCACATACGGCTTTACAACATGTTCAAAAGGAGGGAAATATGGATGTGGATAGGCTTACAAATTGGGCCTACCTTCACGGTTCCAATAAGGTGATCTTCTTCTCTCATGGGTTGCACTCCATCCGTAGATCTACACTTTTTGATGATAAAAATGGGTCATATAATTTTCGTTTTGATTAAGCCAATTTCTACAAGAGGTAGGTCGTGGTCTTTTTTTGGTTAGGTCCTTAATATTTAGTTTATTTGTTATTTACATGTAAGCTTTATAGTTATTCCCTACTAAGTTTCTTGTTGTCATTGTTCATGAAACTTTTCTATAACTTGTTTTTAGGAAACTTTACTATGAGCTTATTTCGGGAGTTTGCGCTCTCTTGTCGTCCGAATTTGTTACACTAGGTCGGTTACCCCCCTTGTATCTTTGGACGTTTCTATTAATATATTCTTAGGTAACATCCCTATTCTCATTAAAAAAATAAAAATAAAATATAAAATATGCATACTTGCTTAGAAATGTAAAATTAATATTCTTTGAATTAATGTATTGACCCTTTCTCTCTCTCTCTCTCACACACACATATACTAAAACCCATATATTTCCTCTCTAGCATGGAATCCTCTTTATGATTGGTCCCCTTCAAGGCACATTCTTAAGGCACCCCCGTTTGGGTAGTCTCCTAGGTTATTATTTCTCAAGCATGGGAAAATATTCCCTTTGCCCCTATTATACTTCCCATCCGCCAAAAGTCACCTTTATCGCTCGTGCTCTCACTTGCTCAAGTTGTTTCGTCGTTCCTTCCATTCTTCTATCTATTCATATTTTATTAAGCTCGTAAGTTATTTTTAATATCTAAGTATTATCATCGTGTTGGTCATCCCTAATATTCAAGTCTAGCTATCATCCTCCATGCTTAAGACTTGTTGTCATAATATCTTATTGTTGTTCCCCTTAATGAATTTTTAAAGTCAAAATTAAAAACAAACTCCAACCCAATTCAACAAAAATCAAATCTACTAGTACGTTATGCGAGGTTTAAAAAGGCTTATTTTATTTATGAACAAACTAAATTTGAAAAATAAGGATCTTTATTAACTTTCATTATTGATGTTGTAAAATAGGCTCTTATTTTATTGATATACCTTAAAGCACAAAAGGAGCATTTTATTGTTCTAACATTCAATTACTAAATTAAATTCATTTAATTAATAAATTTATAAATTAATGTATGAGTATAATTCTAAATTAATGTATTAAAAAAACTCTATTTTTAAATCAAGAGCTTGTTTGATATTATTGTGTTATGTTGCCTTGAGTTATGCTTGTGTTGTGTTGCTCAATGTTAAGAGTAGTGTTTGTAGCTGATTATTGTGTTGAAATTATAAATATTTAAAGTTGTTAAAAGTATTTGGTTAAATTTTATCGTTGTGCTTTTGAGATATATAATAATCAATAAAGACTATAACGTACTAAAACTATTTTAAAACATATATTTTTTTATTTATATTAAATGATTTTTATAACTTCTTAAACTAGACGACATCCATGCATATTTTTTGTAATGATAATTCTTAAGTTTGGAAAAATTTAAAAAAAAAAAGGTTAGATAAGATTGTAATATAGATAGACATAATTTCAATAAAAATCAATTAGTTAAAAAGTTTTTTTAAAATAGTATTCCATATAACACTAGAATTTTTGAAATGTTTACTTTTTAAAAGAAAAATAATAGAGAAAGTTGTCATCCCCCTCCCTCCCAACACACACACACACACACACACACACACACACACACACACATATATATTACACTATGCGAGTTATGATTTTGATAAGAGCATCCTACGTTATTTAAAAAAAAAGTAATTTCCTTTTAAATGATACGTATTTTGATTTCAAATTAAAATAGTTATTAGCCAACATTGATTTCGGCATCCGTACTTTAAAAGTCTACCAATATCAATCACAACCAAAAAAAAAAACCAAAAACAATGATGCTTTTATAACATAATAATGCCAAACATGCATTTTTTTTCTTTGTACATAGGGTGGAGGCATAGTTAAAGCCTCAAAACACTAACACTCGTAGCATCATTAGATAGAATATTGATAATGTCTAGTGGATTATGATTCCGGACTTGAAAATGAGTATCATTCGATGAGCCAATACGGGTGGGGTGGTCGGCACCTCCGTTGCCTTCCCTCAAGGTATGGTTAAAGGAAACAATCCATTGTCTTTGGCACAGTAATGGATGTCAATGATGATGTTGTAATATGGGTGGAATTGATGGATGCCAATATAAATAGCATTGACAACTTCTTGGGAATCGGTCTCCATATTCACCTTCCGAAAGCCACATTCCCAAGCTAAAATTAGGCCTTGACAAATAGCTTTTAATTCCGCCAACATAATAGATGATTCTCCAAGAAAACTCGAGAAACCAACTCTCCACACGCCACAATGATCCCGTATCGGACCTCCAATCCCAACACGATTAGACATGCTCGAATAACTACCATTAGGATTGCACTTGATTGTGCCATGAGAAGGAGCTATCCATGAAATCCAAAAACTATGCACTAGGCTACTCGGACATTATAAGAAGTTTCAAAAGCTAACACACAATCATGAATCATATATTGTAGTAGCCTTACCCGGTGTTTGGATGCAAGAACAGGTTCCTTGGATGAATTCTTTGTTTCATGCACACTAGATGGTCCAAGCATGTGAGGATCAACTTTTGGCAATGGTGCCAAGGAGAAGAAGGGCAAAGAGCATTACCATATAACCAATCCTCCCAAGAAGCCGAAAAGAAGACTTAGTGGGGAGGTTTGATCCAAGGAGTTAGTGCCATATATTCTTGGCCCACGCATAATCACGAAGAACATGCAATATTGTTTCTTGGTCCATGCCACATCTCCGGAATAATGGAGCGGTGGACATGCCCCCGTGCGAACCAAACATGCATTTGGTGTGGTGTTGTATGAAAACTCAACGCAATAAGAGTAAGCAAATTTTAGTCCAAAAATAACTAATCATATTCCAAATATAATAATTGATTTTGAATTCCAATAAATGAATAAAATAAAATAAAATAATAAAGCGTTAAATTGTTACTATTTTTATCATACACTAAATTATATACATTCAATTTGAATTTTATTTAGAAATCTTTTTTTCTTAGAACACATGTGGATATCTAGGTTGTTAATTTAAATTCTAGCGCTATGGTTCAACAAAAATAATAGGTCATATTCACGAGAGAATCCAATCTTACTCTATCAAATGTTAAAATTCATTTTTTTCATGATTATTATTATTATTTTTTTAATTTGATTTGAATTTCGCATGGAGGGTAATTTTTTTTTTTTTTTTCAGTTTGTGCGGAAATATCTACTAGATGGAAAGGTTGAAAAATAAATTAAAAATGATCAAATTTATTGAGATAGAATGAAAACTAGATCTAAAATATAAGTACGTGCATGCTTGTTGACCTAATTCCCATTATCCTTATGCTAAGCCATAAATGCAGTCCAAATGGTTGCAATAAATCTAGAAACTTTTCAATTCTCTGAATTCCCATAGAATTAAACAAAAATTAGCCATAAATCTCACAAAATTAGCCATAAATCTGTTAACAGATATAATTGAAATGATTCAATTTAATAACGTAATTGATTAAATTATTTCCATAATTGAATAAAATCTTAATTTTAATTCAATATTTCTAAGTATATATGGAAATTAAATCACCTCATTCACGCATGTTCAATGCATACAAGGATATGTAGAAATAACAACGTGAATAAAAACAAAATAAAACGTGAAAACAAGATTTGCTTTCCTTTTTCTAGTTCGAATAATATTATTTTTCTTAGATAACGTCAAACTCCTGATTATTAAGGTAGGCCCATTTGAATCGGTTTCTGGTAAATATTTAAAGGATTGAGAATACAATAAGACCGTAAAACCAGACAAAAGAAGTAACGAACTTTGTCTGAAAGTCAGCATTCTGAAATACAGGAAAAATAATGGTGTTATTCTGCCAACATCCATCATGGATATCCTTCATCCTTCTATTTGCAATAAGCTTTGCATCTTGCTTTGCTGAAGCGGATTCATCATCGCCATTGAAGGGTTGGAACTTTGGAGAACTTCCCAAAGATGCTCCTATTCCTCCATCCGGGCCTAGTACGGGTAGCTCGGATTATCCACCACCATCTCCAAGGCTATTGCTTAAGGGTTGGAACTTTGGAGAACTTCCTAAAAATATCCCTATTCCTCCATCTCGGGCCTAGTAGGGGCTCCTTTGATTATCCACCACCACCTCCCAACTCCTTGTTCAAGGGTTGGAATTTTGGACAACTCCCTAAATATACCCTTATTCCTCCATCCGGACCTAGTACGGGTAGCTCGGATTATCCACCACCTCCTTCTACTTCTTTTCTCAAAGGTTGGAACTTTGGAGAACTTCCTAAAAATATCCCCATTCCTCCATCCGGGCCTAGTAGGGGCTCCTCGGATTATCCACCACCACCACCCCCACCTCCTTGTTTAAGAATTGGAATTTTGGACAACTCCCTAAATATACCCCTATTCCTCCATCCGGACCTAGTAGGGGAAGCTCGGATTATCCACCACCTCCTCCTACCTCTTTTCTCGAAGGTTGGAACTTTGGACAACTCCCTAAATATACCCCTATTCCTCAATCCGGACCTAGTACGGATAGCTCGGATTATCCACCACCTCCTTCTACTTCTTTTCTCAACGGTTGGAACTTTGGAGAACTTCCTAAAAATATCCCCATTCCTCCATCCGGGCCTAGTAGGGGCTCCTCGGATTATCCACCACCTCCCACCTCCTTGTTTAAGAGTTGGAATTTTGGACAATTCCCTAAATATACCCCTATTTTTCCATCCGGACCTAGTAGGGGAAGCTCGGATTATCCACCACCTACTCCTACCTCTTTTCTCGAAGGTTGGAACTTTGGACAACTCCCTAAACATATCCCTATTCCTCCATCCGGACCTAGTAGGGGCTCCTCGGATTATCCACCACCACCACCTCCCACCTCCTTGTTTAAGGGTTGGAACTTTGGACAACTCCCTAAATATACCCCTATTCCTCCATCCTGGACCTAGTAGGGGCAACTCGGATTATCCACCACCACCTCCCACCTCATTTCTTATAGGTTGGAATTTCGAACAACTCCCTAAATAATTTCCTATTCCTCTAAGCGGACCTAATAGGGGCGCCTCAAATGATCCACCACCATCACGAGTGTCATTCAATAATAAGTATTTTCGAGTGTAATTTAAAGGTCCTAGTAGTGGTAAAAGTTATGGATTGTCTAAATCTATGTTCTTGTCATTTTGAATCACTATGAAAGTTTTCGATGATTAGTTTGAGTTGCTTCACAAGAATTGGCACTATTAGTTAAATAGTATATATATATATATATATATATATATATATATACACATATCTAGGATATTTTTGTGTCATTTTTTTGCATTCATCGAGACTAAATCTATTTTTTTTTTTTTTTGAGCTAAACCAAGGTGACAATATGTTTAGCTTTTGGTTGACTCATCGACCTCTTTTTTAAACCAAATTAACTCAAGCTTTATATCTTTAAAGCATAATTATGACTAGTTATTTGTGGATAGAGAGAATTGAACCATGATCTTAGTCGAATCAAAACAACTCCTTTACTATTAGACCACATTTCTTGATTAATTAATTTATATACTTTGTCATCTCAATTAGATTAGTGGAAAACTCTATACAAATAGTAAAATCATGCATAAAATTTATATTTCTTGTAGCTACCGAGTGATAAATAGTGTTACAAAAATAGTATATACACTTATCATATAAATTATGAATATTAATGGTGTATTTGGTTAGATTTAATAAATCATGAAATGACCCATTACATAACAATTAGAATTGTAATGACTTGTCACATTACATGTATTATAAAAAAAGCTATGTAATGAAACATTTGTGATCATACTATAAATTAAAATGAAATTTATGAAAACATACATTCAATTACTTATAAATTTTTCAACCAAGCAAAAAAATATATAATAAATCATCTCATTTTTCGTTACATTAGAGCACATCATACTAATATAAATGCTATTAATTAGTATTAATAAGATTCTTTAGTATACCATTTAGTATAATCCTACTTATATATTAACGACTCTTTAAACTTCGATACATGTAAAATATTGGTGTATATAGGTCATGTGCAAGAGTGATTTTAGTATTATAATTCGTCAAGAAATAAAATAGAAAAAAAATTACGATGAAAGTGAAGTGAAAAGTTTCTTTTCTTGATTTCTTTTTCTTGTTTAACGGAGACATATATATAAAAGAAAGATTTTTTTTTTTTTATTGTTACAAGGAGAGTAACATGAGAGGAAAAATAAAAACAAGAGCTTTTGTTTGATTGGTATAGAAAAGAAAGCAATAATTTTTTATGCACAAAATATTGTGATAGAATTGATTTTTAGATACTATAGTCACTCGAAAATTACAATGTTCAAAATAATGGTCTCATATGGCATTGAGTTTTGCGGAAATACAAAAATTTCGTAGATTTTAGATTTTCATGATAAGACTAATTTGGTTAGAGAGATAACTTGTATTATCGTTACTATTTTTACTTCTCAAGTTCATAAAAAACTTAAGTGATTGCATTGTTTTTTAATTATAATAGATCATTTTAAAGTTGGTCCAATAGTTTTTCCTCTAATATAGAAATGTTTTCCATGTAATTTTGATTTTCTTGTGATTGTACACTTGTTATTAATTTATTTTGTATTTTTTATTGTTCTATGTGTTTGACTTGATTATTTTTTTAACAAAATCTAATTTATACAGAGTGAGATTGCATTTCCAACATACAATGGTTGCTCTATTTGTTCATTTGAAATATTTGTTTCATGTATTTCAAAACCATTTATATGTTTAATGTTTAGTAGTAGTGAATTTTATTTTTATTTTTCATTTGACCCGTTTGGCTTTGGTTAAAACTTTTTAAAGCTTAAGAAATATATAGAAATAGCCAAAAAGTTTCACAATTTTACCTTTTTCTTTTTATTCATTATCAATTACGTTTACCATTTTACTTAAAATTTTAATTTTTTATAAGTCCAGAAATGGTTGTATGAAAAAATTGATAACAATTAAAAAGAACTCCACACAATCAAATTTGCTTTTGACGTTTGTGCTAGTAGTGCTTGAACTTATATTATGAATTCTAAAGTTTCCCAATTAAAGTTTTAGCTAGTTAAGTTATGATATTTGAGTTTGACAATGAAGTTTTTGCAATTAAATATTTTAGCTAGTTAACTTATATTATAGTCCTTTACATTAAGAGATGCATCTCTTGTTAAGTGAGGAATTGATTATTAGTCAACAAAGTAAGGATTTGACTGTTAGTCAACAAAATAGATTCAATAAATGATAAACAAGTCTCCATTATGATTAAAAATGAAAATAATTTTTAAATTTTAATAAAAAGAAAAAAAATCATTTAATGAATCTTTGAGAAAAAAAAAATTGTTTTTCTAAATGAGAAAAATAGAAACATTATAAAACAAACTAAAAGATGTGGGATGAGTTTAATGCGCGAGTACTATAACTCTATACTTAGTTACACTATGTGGACGGAAGTCCGACTTTTTTTTTTTTTTGTAATTTCTTAGATTTTTCACGTAATTAATTATAAGCAAATTATATGAACCTTTACACTTTGGCACTCGATTTTTTTAAAGTTTTTATTTTGATCCAAAACTTCATTTGTGAGATACTTTGATCCTTAGGTGTAGATAGGAGAGAGAAACAAAGAGAGAGGAGGGAGGGAGAGAGAGAGTATCGACCAAACTTATTCCGATCACTTTAGTTGGTGATATATCATTCGTTTATCTTGAAAAAAAGAGTTTGTCTATGGTGGTCTTAAGTCATCAAATAATTGAAGGATATAAATCGGAGAAAAAAATAATTAAATTTTTTTATTTAAATTTGTTTTTTTTAATGTGCATTAAAATAATTTTTAAGGGTTTAAATAAGTTTATTGACCTCATTTTGGTGTTTTTAAGAAAAAATGATGGACAAATTGAATTTTGGAGCCGAAAAAAGGCAAAAACTTGGTTTTTTTTTTTTTTTTTGACAAATTCAAGTTCACCAAAAGTTGCAACATATGGTACATCATCTCCTACTCTTTTTTTTTTTTTTTCATACAACTTGACGATTAAAAAAATATTTGCTTTCAATTTTTCGTTTATGATTTTTTTTCAAAGTTTAAAATAATTTCTTTGATTTGCATTTTTATGGAAACATTTACTTAATTTTTTATATATTTTTATTTGTTAAAAAATATGATTTACTTTTCTCAATGTATCAATTTTTGAATAAAAAAATTAGAATATGATTATTTTTTATTTTTTAAAATACATTAATGTAATTTATATGAGAAATTCTTATGATTTTAAATGAGAGCAATATATATATATATATATATATATATATATATATATATATATATATATATATATATATATATATATATATATATATATATATATAAAGCTTAAAAATGCATTTCAAATACTTTTTAAAACTAAAAAAAATAAAAATAATCAATTCAAAAATGGATTTTACATGTGTTGTTTACTTCTTCTTTATATAATGAAAATTTATTGAAGTCACTTTTTTTTTTTATTTAAGTCTATTAAATTCAAATTTATTTAACACACACACACACACACTCATAATCGATTTTATTAGAAATTAAGTATGCATCTACACACATAAAGCCAACAATTTAATATTAATTTTTTTCTTTTGGATATTTTAAATTTAGTTTGTTTCGAATAAAATAATTAAATTAATATTTTAAAAGAACTATTCAATAATTCAAATACAGTTTTAATGCTATATTATTGATCATTTTGTGATTCAATATATATATACAAATCAAATGTACGTGCTTTAAAAAAATATTTTCATCAGTATTAAATAAGAATAAAAATATATATTTATGTTTTGTTAATTTTGAAACAAATGTTTATATTTATTGTTGCTTTATTTTTTTATACAACATTATGAAAAAGATATTAAGGTTTTAAAAAAATCGGATTCAATTTTTTATTTAGATTGTTGTAGGTTCTTATTTAAGAATCAATGTGTACACAATAACAAATCATGTTTTTTTTTAATTGAAAATTTATGAAAAAAATAAGGAATAATCAATTAAAAACAATATTTTGATTAAAAAGTTATTATATTTTTTAAATTACCTTTCATTCGATATATTGAAAAAAAAAACTAAACCAAAACGATTGTTTATTATTCACTTTAGTGTTTCAAACACTTTTTATGCAAACTCATTTCCATTGTTCACCAAGACTCATTGTATTAGTCCTTTAACTATATTATGTCATTGCTGTAATTTTAAAGCTTTCTTAAGGCATTTACCATGGAAGTTATAGTGGTATTATATTTTGGTCTCTCTTTTTATTTTTTATTTTTGAATTCATAAATTTACTTTTGTTTCACTTTGGTCCTTGTACGCTACATGGAGAGAGAAAAAAGGGTGAGAGAAGGAAGGACGAGAGAGAGGACTAGCAAGACCCATTCGACCACTCTGCGGTTGATTTTACCATCACTTTGTTTCTCTCAAAGAATAAAATCCATTTGTGGGGTTGACAAGCAATGAAATGGTTAGAGGACATAGATCCAAATTCCAAAATAGAGAAAAAGGTTTTTTATTTTTTTATGCCCAACCTTTATTGTTTTTTTCTTTTTTGGTATCTAGTCATTGATTTCTCATGATTGACTACCTAAGCTTTGATTTTCTGTTTATTTCGGTGTTCAAGTTCACCTAAAGTTTGATTTTACTCGACTTGTTTAGTTAGATCTGTCATGTGGTATTTTTTATACCACGTGGCAATTGTAACTAACACATCATAAAAAACCTAAAGGTTACAAAGTAACCTGGTTCGGCCTACTATTTATGTTCTAACTAAAGGAAAAAAATTAATAAATAAAAAAATTAACAAAATGGTGTAAGTTAAACGGATCATTTAACTTACACCATTTTGTTAATATAAAAAATAGAAAAAATAAATTGAATCGCATTAGAAATCAAAGAGACAGTTTTGAATTTAAATAGACAAGGGAGAGATGAGGAAAAAACCTAA